GCATCGCAGTCCGCAGCCGCCGACGCGCCGTCCCGTCCTCCTGGTGCTAGCGCGCTAGAGTGACGGTAGCGTGCGGCGCAGCTTCAACCCCCTTAGGTCGCCCCGTGACCATCACCGGGAGGAGACTGCCTCCTCATAGGGGCTGGAGCTGGACAAACGCCCTCCTCCGACCCCCGGCCCGACGGCGGCGGCACGGCGCCGAGAGGGAAGAAGAGCTCTCCCTCTCTCGTGCCACCGCCTCCTTCTGCGAGATGGTGGACTCGCAGAAGTCGAGCATCGCCTGCCAGGACTCGTCGCTGCCGAGCATCGTAGCCACGACGGTCGGAAGCGACAAGTCCGGTCCTATTTTTGCAACGAGGACGCGGCGCACCTCCGCGAAAGCGGGGCAGTACGCGAGCGTGTGCTCCGCCGTGTCCTCGTTGCAGCCACTGCAGTGGTGGCACTTCGGCACTTAAACTGAGATATTAGAACTCATATCTCAAGGTGGGTGGCGGCATTTATGTTGTAGATATTTTTGGGCTCCGGTAACCACTTAACACGGATAGGCCGTGATCTCGTTGACAAATCTAGGTAATAAATAAAATAAAAAAACTAAGTAACAAATGAATAATTTCAATAAATCGAATGTTTTTCAAACAATTAATGAAATTTATAGTCGAGTGTGACCGTGTTTAATTAGTTAAATATAAACACATTGATTATTTTATTACTCAATTATTAATAGGTAAGTGGGCGAAAGATCTCACGGTTTATCTGGTGTTAAGTGGTTACCGGAGCCTATAGACATCGCAACCCACCTCAAGATTTGAGGTCAAAGCCTCAATTGTTTTGTGCATAATCTACAATCCATTTAGTCGTCGTGGCCTAAAGGATAAGACGTCCGGTGCATTCGTGTGTAGCGATGCACCGATGTTCGAATCCCGCAGGCGGGGTACCAATTTTTCTAATGAAATACGTACTCAACAAATGTTCACGATTGACTTCCACGGTGAAGGAATAACATCGTGTAATAAAAATCAAACCCGCGTAATCACTGGTGGTAGGACCTCTTGGGAGTCCGCACGGGTAGGTACCACCACCCCGCCTACTTCCGCCGTGAAGCAGTAATGCGTTTCGGTTCGAAGGGTGGGCTAGCCGTTGTAACTATACTGAGACCTTAGAACTTATATCTCGAGGTGGGTGGCGCGTTTACGTTGTAGATGTCTATGGGCTCCAGTAACCACTTGGCACCAGGTGGGCTGTGAGCTCGTACACCCATCTAAGCAAAAAAAAATATATATGCCAAACCACAACGTATGACGACTTTGTGGCAGAAATGGGTAGGATATTAGTACACTACACGTGTGAGTTTACAATACGCCTTATCACCAGTGTTTAGCTGTCACAGCTAATACGCAAGGTCAGAGAACGCTGGTGGCATTACGAGCGATAAATTTATAATGAAGCATGTAGCGTTTTCCCGGGATAAAGTATTTTACGTCTGGTCCATAAACTAACCCTTCGATTTGTAGATCCGTTGGCCCATAAAACTATTACAAACCTCCGAGTATACGCTCGTATTTATTATAGTATATACACACACCATTTCCTGGATCATAACAGAAAGTATCTTTGCGTGAAATTACATCCATATTCGATCAGCCATTTTGAGTGATTTAGTAACGAAACATCTGAACTTTTACTTTTTATAATGCTGGTATGGATGGTTATGGATTCACAAAAAAAGTTCTCATTAGGGTGCGATGAATTGAAATTTGAGATTTTACACGCGTGTAAAATTCTATACTTTAACTGCGGTAGGAATTTCGAGATGCGATTTTATCTCTTCGCGATATAGTTATTTAGTTTAATTTAAATAGACTTTCCGCGTGTTCTCAGGTTAATGCTCTTTATAGATAAAAGGATTGTATTAAAAAAAACCGCTTGTTCTGAAATTTCAAAGTGAAATATTTTTAGAATTATTTGGTTAATTAAGTTTTGATATTTGTGAGTTTCATTGAAAATTCCACTACAGTCTTCACTCGATTAACCGTGTTTTGTTACTGAAAGCTTCTCAGCTTTCATTCATTATTTAATATACATATAGAAATATATTAATTTACAACACACGAATACATATTGTTAACCTTATAATTATCTTTACAGTTTTAATGCTTCGTAATTACTTAATCAGACTTATGTTAATTTTAATACCGCTTACGCAATTTAGTTGAAAATTTTCTTTTATATATTGGCTTTTGTCATATTATTTACCATTACCGTACTTAAGTGCAGTATCAATGGTTTCAATGAAAAGGTGCAATTTTTCAAATATTATAACATAGTCCCAGTTTTACATGAGAGTTTATTGGGGTGGTATTTAAATAAGGACCACAGGTCCCCTTGCGTCAATATTTTTTTGCGAATTTATTAAAGAACGAAGACAGTAATAATTAAGTTAGGATTTTCATTATGGTCTAAGTCGTAGGGCACTGTGGAACTGTCTATGTAAACTACCATAATTCTTCCAGTTTTTTGTTATAAAGCCGTCATGCTTTATGGTTTAAACGCTGCGAGAATTGTTATATAACACACTTTATACTTTAATCTTGCGGGCTTGTTTTGTTAATGTCTATGGACTTCTTCACCAATCCAAGCAATAAAAAGTAAACAACACGCATTATTAATGCTAAATAAATGTTCAATATTATTTTATTTTTATAATAATAGTTTGAAATTTTAAAATAGATACTTATTTATATGACGGAATCTCCGCAGTTATCGTTCGTCATTGTTTAGGTACAATAAACAAAGGTTACGCTCTGATTAATTTGGATTGCTTATCATTGCGTATTTTTATTGCTGTAGAAAAGCAAACGAGTTACCGTAGTCCGTAGACATCATGAACACCATAATCCACCCACCAATTGTGTTGGTGTATCGACTGTCTCATGATTCAAGTTGAATTGCATAACTTCTTTGCGGCAATAATGGAGTCGACGTACGTGGTCTTACTTTTTTCTCCTACCTAATCGTTGGTAGCCTAAGGGGCTATTCCAACTTCACGCTGACAGGTAGGTGAGCTCACGGGCTCAACCTGAGAGAGCTGCTAACACTAACCCTTTTCTTTTTAACACTCGGGAATCCGTTTACGGAAGTCGTCGTGGCCTAAAGGATAAGACGTCCGGTATATTCGTATCTAGAGATGCACCGGTGTTCGAATCCCGCAGGCGTGTACCAATTTTTCTAATGAAATACGTACTTAACAAATGTTCACGATTGTCTTCCACGGTGAAGGAATAACATCGTGTGATAAAAAGCAAACTCATCAAATTAAATTTTAATAATCATATAATAAAATTATATGAGCTCCGTCCACTGATCTAAACAAAAAAAGAAGTTTTTACCTTTAATCACGGTATAAAGGAAAACTTATTATAGAATTTTCTTGTTTTTTCCTCGAACAGAATCAAGTCTTTTAATTTCATATTTACTAATTAAAGTACATATTTTACCTCGTGCATAATTTAAAATTCCATTTTTTTTTTTAAACAATGCGACTGAATTATCATTGGAACAATGAAATTCCTTTTATTATCTTCAGTGGACAATGCACCTTCACTTGTAAGGTTCGGACCTTATCCTTATCTTTGAACGCGTCCAGACTAGAACGCGTGCGGCTAGCTCCCTTTCCTGTCAATCACTTTAATCAGTCATCGTTCATATTTCATACGGGAATGACGTAGTCGAAATGTGATTTTGAATAATATTATATTTTAATTAATAATTTTGTATATAAGTGTTTAGTGATTTCTTTTTTCTTGTGTAATTTTTAAGTGCATTGAAATTTGTGAAAATGTTGTCGATGAGTAGTTACGAGCAGCGACTGTTTAATTTCAAATCTCTGAAAGAGAAATTCGAGAAGCCAAGGTATATATTTTATGGTTTTGTTTTTAATTTACTACTTTTGTTACTATTGTGTTTCCTAATTTGCCGAGTTAAGGTTTGGTTGTAAGCTTGCCCAAATTTTAATGTAATAAATACAAGTTTTTACCCACTCTTTAATATAGACAAAAAAAACATCGCACGGGAATAGGACTTTTTTCTTGTTCAAAGGTTTCCTGTGTCCTTTCTAAATATGCGGTTCTGACAGCGTATATGCTAAAGTTAATGATCATTTCTTCAATAATTAATTATGACTTAAAACAATCACAGAAGTGAAACTTCCTAATAATAATATTGTTGATTGTGAAAAGAGAAGAATCAGTTAATACGTAATTTTTTAATTTATAAATATTGTAAATGAGATCCTTACCTTTTATTAATTTCAATTTATATTATTGGTGTTTTTAATCTATTATTTAATATGCATTCTCGTAAAGATTTTCGTGTTAACTTGATGAACTGCCAATTTGGTTTTAAGTGGTTACTTGAGTTCTTAGACACCATAACGTGAATACCATCACACACAACTAGACATGAGGTCGAAGACTCATCAATGTTACACAACTACTTTTTCGCGGATCAAATAGGTATTAAGGTTGTATCTGCGCGTACGGGGTCACATTCTATCCAACAACCTGTACCATTTGGTTTATTTATTTGTATTCGTCGTTCATAATAATCTTCATGGAACTCACGATAGTTGAACTAGAATGGTTCATTCTTCTCCTAGTCCTTATCCCATATTACGTGGGGTCGGCATAGCACTTCCTTTTATCATGCTCTACAGAGATTTGGCATGAGTTTTACAATCGACCGCCTGTCTAATGTCAACACCCTCCTTAGTTATGTCTCTTTGAATTAGAATGGTTAAATGAAAACAATAAACAAAATTACTGCACGTTTCTATTACATATAAAATGTTTACGTATTATTTTGTCGTATATCACAAAAACTCAAGATCTCAAGAAAAACATCAACCGAATATTCATCCTGGCGATTTAAAATCACTTCATTTTTAGTTTAGTAATTCAAACCGTTTTTCGTGACAATAACAGTATTTGTATGTTTGTCGACAGGGTCGGTGGTGGAGTCCAACGCAGCGCCACACATGCGGACATGCCCAACAGAGGTGTAACGATCGCCGAAAGGTAAATACGTTTTTAAAATTAATGGGATTAAGGTTGAATTTTGGCTTTAAAATTCTTAATAGCATTATAAGATCAAATTCTGCGTAGATTATAAGATCAAATCAAGTACTTCCGCATTTGATTAGAAGGGTAGGATCGCCTTTTTAAGCTTTAAGGATCCAAGAGCTGTAGCGGTCTTGCCAGGTAATAATTTCTTTTGATTCGGCCGCAGAAGCATTTCTGTTCCCGTTGTGATTTTTATGGGATCCATCTACTAGCACGGGGGTCGTAAACTCATCTTTACATAAAAAAGTATTTTTCTAAATTTAATTTTTTAAATCTTAATAAAAATAGTAGTAGTGTGATCTCGGACTAACTTAAATTCTTCTCGATTTCAAACACAGCCGTAAATAAATAAAAACGTCAATTATAAATTAATATTTAAATAGTACGTTATCCTGGTTTTTAGACGAATAATGATATACTGAAATATTTATACTTGTATTATATTAATATTAATAATAATATTTCCACACCATAATGAAGTTGTTGACAATATTTGAAATAGACTCGCGCTCTTTCCTCTTGGCCAAGTGTTTCCTTGAGGAAACGTTGCGTTGACGCAACAATTAACATAAAATTACCCAGGGAAATTAATTCCGGGCACGAGGTAGCATAAATTAAAATGTATCTTCTACTGACGGTTAAGCTTGTTTTCTTACTTAAGCATAGCTAATTGTTATAAATAAGCTTTACTAAGAATACACTTACCTCAAAAAAAAAAGTCAAATATATAGGTAATTGTCATTGGAAGAAAAAAAAATTGGTAAAATGACTCATATTATTTGTCAACATTTTTTTTTTAAATAAACAAAAACTTCATGAGCCTTTTAAATTCATGAAACGGTGATAAGCCTATTATTGAGAGCTTAAAGTAATCCTATTTATTCCCTAATCGTCTGTTGAACCAGCTACTTGGTCACAAGTGAAGGGAAAAAAATTGAGAGAAAGAAAAAGGCTTTTTAAAAATGAAAAAGGCTTGAATTTTTTCTGCCGATAAATTAGCCTCATTTTTTTTAAGTTCCCAAAAGTTCTCAACGTAACACAAACTTTGCAGAAATTCCTTTAACATTCCATATTTTTTTTTACAATTTTTTTTGTTTTTGTTCTTTATTTATAAAGCTTGTGGCTAAATTTATTTTTTATTATTTTGGTTTCACAAGCCTCCTGTATTTATGCTCAGTTAAGAAAAATTTGTACTAAAAAAGTACACTCTGTATTTTCTCGACAACGATCCTGAATGAACGCATCTGTTCATCACCATACGAAAACAACGCGCTTTTAACTGAATTGTTAAAATGTAATACATATATGAATATGAATAGACAAAACCATAACGTTAATTTAGACAGCAACTCCCATTTGGGAAATGAGTTGGAATTACAAATGATACTAAAATAATGACCAACTTACTATTCAAACCAGTTGTAAATGTTTTGTGATAGAAGCATCAGAACAGGAAACTGCTTTCGCACTAAATCTCGGATTAGTGTTACAGTACTAGCGGTTATGTGGGGCCAATTAGCTAGTTTAACACCAAGGGCTTTTAGGTCAGTAATACTCATCATCTCAGATGATTCATTGTACATTCGGAAATAAGTTTCTCACTCCTTCAAATGATCCGAGGATGTATCGTTAACTGTAAATCGTATCTATATATTAATACGTGAAGCAAAAACTTTGTATCCCTTTTTACGAAAATTGCGCGGACGGAGGAGTATGAAATTTTCCACACTTATAGAGAATATAGAGAAGAAGTGCACAATGCTAATATTTTTTTTAAATAATGCATAAAAGATACATTAAATCAATAAAGAAAACATTACACACACTACATACTATGTATTTGACGCACACACATGCATACTATTTATTGTCAAACTTTTGTTCTTGACGTCTGTTGTCAAATTGAGAATAGATTAAATATTGTTTGTCTTTATTATTTAATATTTTTTTATAGTGTAGCCTTGGCGAAATTTGTGATTATAGAAGTATAAAATACAATCATAATAGTGTACAAACTTACAATTCCAATTAATTATAGTCGAATTTCGACTACTGCGGGACCTCTAGTTATAATAAAAACCCTTTGAACTAAACTAAAACGAATCAGTTTTAGACATTAGGGTTAAACAAACTGCTTTAGATAGATAACGAGGTTAATGCAACAAATCAGTGAATGTCAATAAATATTTATACTATCAGTTACGAAGGTTCAGGCCACCCCGTTAGTCTTTATCGTACTGTTTGCTGTAAATAGAATTGTTTCAAATGTTTGATTGCTTATACGAGTATTGTTGTATACTAGACAACAATATTAAATGTCAGTTTCAAGGAAGCCTATACACCTATATGTATATAAATCGAATTAAAATTAATATTAAAATAATTAATATTTTAAGTTTAGAAGGAAAGAGTTAGTTCGTAGATCGTTTTACTGTCGACGAAAATGATTAATTTACATTTCCATGCAATAAATAATAATGTTTTAGTTTCCTGTTTAGTTTAGTTAAATTTTGGCATTGCTGACGTCCATGAGCGACGGTAACCACTCACCATCAGGTGTGCCGTATGCTCGTATACGGCAATAACAAACAAAAAAATTGTCAAAAGACAAGGGCCACCAAGGTAGTTAACGAAAAAAAAAAATATTAAATTAATTTTTACATCATTTGAGTTTGTTGTTTTTTAAAACGTGATATCTAGTTAAGTGTTGTTTATTGTTACTTGCAGGCTTGCTGCGCTTCAGGCTGCGGGAGCTAATGACTGGCGAGCCAGAGTTTGCCGTCTCAGCCCTGAGAGAGACGAAACCAAGGCCATTGAAAGAGCGAAGAACAGAATTAATGTAAGTTCCTTCAGTGTTACAGCCTTTTTGTTTTTTGGTCATGAGCAAATCGCCTGACTCCCACCCTCCACTGGGGATGGGAGGCGGGGTTTGTCGGAGTCGAAACGACTTCAACCTCCTGTCGCTCAACAACCCACGTCCGAGCCTCGCATGAGACAGAACTCATGAAAAGGCAAAGGGGGGAAAGTGAAGCGTTTAGTGTGGAGCACATCTCTCCCATCACCCTCCCCCTCAGGAAGTGTGTTACAGTTTAAGTAAATTCCAAATGTGTCATTGTTGCATTTAAAAATAAAACATTACATTATGTAAATGTTAATTAGATAGAAGAAACGTTTTAGGGACATGCATATTTTTAAATATAGCTTTTAGAAAGATTTGTGTTTGTTTTCAGGTTTTGTACACTTTAATCTTCCACAGTTATTAAATCATTGAATACTTTATTTCGTCATTATTGAACTTGAGATAATCATAATTAACAAAACAGTGTTTTTCTTCACTAAACCGGATACATAACGTATATTTTATTTTTGAGCATTTAAAGGATCGTAGATTATAAATTAGAATCGAATATAAGAAAATCATAGAGCTAAGTACACAGCAATCAATTTTATTGTTTACGAAGGCAGACGCGGGTACGACTCACCTAAAAATTTTAATTTCCTTGCCGTAAACTATGGAAATGCAAACTAGCTTATTCCATATTGTGAGCTACGCAATAAATCCTGTTGCATTCTTGAATACAAAGCTGTCGACGAAGTGACAGGACAACGAATGTTAGGTGCTTTACGATAAAACCGTGCAGACGTAGGTAAAGCCCTTAAAAATTATTAAAAGTCGTCGTCGTGGTCTAAAAGATACTCGTATCGTGCAATGCAACAGTGCCGATGTTCAAATTCCGCAGGGCCGACACCAGTTTTCTAAGGATAATAAATATTACGAATATTGCTTTCACGAAGAAAGAATAATCGCAACGTATATTAAAAATCGAGCTCGCAAATATTTTAATTTACATAATTATTGGCGGTACGGCGTGTGGTAGCCTGGATGGCTATGTATCATGGACTTGTCTAGGCCAGTCGCGAAGCAGTAAAGCGTTCAGATTTTAAGGGTGGGACAACCACTATCCCCTTCGGGTCTAGGTGGAACCCCAGGGGTCCGGGGGGGACATTTGGCGTGTCAAAAAACAGGGGTTCACAGTTCGTAAATTGCATTACGTACACGACAATTAATTTGTTTTCCTGTAGTAAATTATTTGTAGTCAATCCATCAGCTACATCCCTCTTATTAAAATTATGTATATAATAACATATATAGTAGTAGTAACATAGTAGTAACATAGTAATATATTATATTATATAACAATAATGAATACTGTATTCATTAAGTATTTGAATGAGTTCAAGACAAAAAATAAAGGTTTTTTTTTTTTGGGCTGCTATACTTTTTTCACAATTAATGAACCAGTCAATGGTCCCCTTTTTTCGAAAACTATTATAATTCGCAGTTGAAACTCAGCCGCAACGCAAATTTCCATAAGTAGATGTAATCTTCAGATTTTTGCCGAGTATTGATTAGGAACATGGTAAAAATGTAGCTGTAGAGGATCCACCAGAACGAGCTTAATTTTGAAAGTGGTCTATGAGAAAAAAGGATGGTCACCTCTGCACTATATGATGGGGACTCAAATGTGGGCTCCATTCGTAAGTGATATCTATGAGCTCTGGTGACCACTTATTACAAGCTGGACCATGATCTTGTTCATTCGCCTATGCAATAAAAGAGAACAAAATTATTTCAGTACCTAATACGAATAAGAAAATCTCATTAGAAAACTAAAATACAGTTAAAGAGATACAAAATAGTTGGAAAAAATAACGCGTATTTTTATTAGTTAAAATTATGAATATTAAATTGTTAAGCATGTATAGATTTTTCGGTAATTATTTTCTTATTTTATTTTGTTTCTTGCGACCATTTAAAACATTTTTATTAGAATTAATTGACATATTGAAAACGTTCGTAATTGTCTTGTTAAGACACAGAGGATTCAATTACTAAGGTATATGTTAGTACCTGAAACTCGAGATATTCCTGCGTGATACCGGCGCGGCCTTGGCCGCAATACATTTACATCGAAACAGAAATTAGGTTCTTAATTTATATTCGTTTTTTGTTATTGCTTCACGTAAAATACTAGTACACAGTGTGTGGGATTTCATGAACATAAAGTGAGACACAGAATACTCGACTGTTTGTCACAAACGCGAGGAGCGAAGTTGTCTGAATTGTTTTATTTTGTTAATTTACTGTCCCCTCAGGTTTAAGCATGCAATAGCCTTGGTTTATTAGCTGTTTAGCGTCTGTGAAAGTGCACGAATGCGGATAAATGAAAGAAAAAGCGACTGGACGTGTTGCCTCTCGGGTTTTTCCAAAAAAATCTTAGAACAAAACCACAACTTTACTGAGATTTTATTTCATCTTAAATCATGTCGTTTCGCTTAATTATGTCCTAATTGATTAAGCCTCAAATTAATCAACTCCATCTCATTTAGCTACATGTAATTTTCCATTTAACTGAATCTAAGTAAAAATAAGACTTGGCTTAAAGGTCTCGTTACCAGGCCTAAAATCTTCACAAAAACCCGCAATGTACCACTAAACAAACATATGTCTCGGCGGTATATTTTGAACGTGAACTTCAAGAACACTGAAAGTTCCATGAAAGCGTCTAACCTTTCGCATAACTTGTTTTAATAGTTTGATTTGAAGGTAGACGTAGTTCATAAAGCCTAGCGTATCTGTTAGAGTTTATTTAATATAATTGTAGTACATAAGTACATAGCGGTAGGCAGCGACTTGGCTATGTCCTTGGTATTGTTCAAGTCCATGAGCGGGGTGATGAGTGCTCACCATCAGGTGGGCAGTATGCGCACCTGCCGGCAGTAGCAATGAGACAGCGAAGATATTATTTAATATTGTTTTATTTTTCTTATATTATCTCTAATAGCTAGAGGCTAATTGTTTTGTAAATAATAATAATAATAGTAAATAATTTATTCAACCTTAGTCATATTTACACACACATATTTAATTTACAGTTTTCATCATACACATTTAATGTAATCACGCTCAAAAGCTTAGAAATAATTTTTCGACATAGATAATTAAAATTGTTTTATCGTGATAAATACGACTTCCGTTGCCCCAATTAACTAAACTTAAAAGGTTATTGAACTTATTTATAGTGACGCGTATAAATTGTTTCAAATAAATAAAAGCATGTTGTTTTATATTGTATAAAGAAAAAAAATACGAAACAGTGGAAGATACCTTTTTTAAAAGTAGCACTTAATAGAACTAAATACGGAACATGATTTAATCCTAGGTCAAGCTATTTATTATTCGTTAATATATTACTTTGAAAAATTATTCACATTTGTAAATTTACTTCTTTGAAAATTAACACGAATACAATCTATTACACGCTATTAATTTCATTCCATTATTGAAAATAAATCTGAGGAGGAGGCGCCTTGAAAATACTTGGATGGACTACGTGAAAGCGGATATGTGAGAGATGGGTGTGAGTGCAGAGATGACTTATGATAGGCCTGAAAGAAAAAAGAGGACGTGCTGCGTCTCCCTCATAGTTGGATAAGAGCAAGAAGAAGAAGAAGAATTGAAACTACATTTCTGTCTTTTGGTTGCCCTTTTGCTAGAAGATTCAGATATTATTGGCGCCCTAATTAAAACTCGTCGAGAACGCGGATTAATGCCGCCCCTAAATGACAGTAAAAGCTTGTCAAAAACATAAAACAAACGTAATCCAGGAAGGCGAAGGTTCGTTGTTTGGTAATGGACGATGCCGATTCCGATTTGCACGCCTAAACGAATATTATTCACTGGGGAATCAGGGCTCGTATTGATTAGCAAATACGTGCGGTTTTTGTTGCCCTCTTTAAAGGTATTGTAGTGAGGTGTGTTGTGATGGTAGGTATGTTTTTATTATTATTTTTTATTGCTTGGATGGGTAAACGAGCTCACAGCCCATCTGGTGTTAAGTAGTTACTAGAGCCTACAACGTAAATGCGCCACCCATCTTCAGATATAAGTTCTAAGTTCTCAGTATAGTTACAACGGCTGCCCCACCCTTCTAACCGAAACGCATTACTGCTTCGCCGTAGAAAATAGGCGGGGTGGTGGTACCTACCTGTGCGGATTCACAAGAGGGCCCACCACCAGTAATTACGCAAATTATAATTTTGCGGGTTTGATTTTTATTACACGATGTTATTCCTTCACCGTGGAAGTCAATCGTGAACATTTGTTAAGTACGTATTTCATTAGAAAAATTGGTACCCGCCTGCGGGATTCGAACACCGGTGCATCGCTAGATACGAATGCACCGGACGTCTTCTTATCCTTTAGGCTACGACCACTATGTCACCACGACTGTGTCGATATGTATTAAAATCCTACCGACTTCTGTCACGTGCTTGATAATTCGCTTCAGTTTAAGGCTAAAGTAAGTATAAAGCGATTGAATTATTTAAAAAATGCCGTACTTCTGCGTCGAAGTATGCAATAAAATAACGAACCTTGTATTGTCATAATTATTCCGGCTCTGACACATGCGGCCATATTTATTTAACTTTATAATAAATTTTTAGAAAAACGCTTAAAGGAACTTTATAATTACAATTACGTATTTTACACATAAAAAAATAACTTCAAATGCATATTGGTCATTTTTTTTCTTCAATCTAAATAATCATTGAGCCCTTAAACTAGTTGATAAGACGTTCAGAGTTGAACTGTTGCCCAGCCTAACATCATAGTGTTATTTATAGAAAAACCCCGACCTCATATCGCAGTCCTGACCTTTCCACCGTTGTTTTGTTTTAAGCTAATGGTGTTTGGCTTGTTCTATATTGAGATCCGAAAAGTCAAGGGAATAATGACCCTGTACATAATAATTACATAATACGGTACATATTGGC